CAAGCTAATGGACGTTTCTAAGCAATTGCTTGAAGTTAAAATTTTTTTATGAACAGCGTTCCAAAGCTTGGCTGCATTAAACAAAAAGGTATTTGATTTATTTAGGAGAATAACTGTGAGACTCGTTGCACGGTTTGAAATGTTGATAGCCTCATAAAGGGAGTATGGGCAGTGGTACTTGATAATCTTAGAAAATTCTAAGATGCAGTGATATTTGTACAAGTTTTGAGCCGTAAGTATTTTTAATCTATTAAAAATGGGTTTTGTATGTTCCTTTTCAAAGTGTTTATGGTCTAGTTTTTGCATACCGTATGGTCTAGTACGTGCACATGTTGATTGTTTATCTAAATATGAGTCAAGGTCGCCAAAAAGGATCCTTATACAGTGCTTCTGTGTGATGAAAAGACTATCATTGGACCGTTCTTTGAGGACAACACCCCACACACTTATACCATAACTGAGATGTGATTCAAAAAGAGCATTATATATTTTCAAATATAGTTCAGAAGGTATCGAGTGCCGAATTCTGCAGATTGCACCAGTCATAGATCGCAGTTTTTTACGGATGTAGTGCATGTGGGCAATCCAGTTTAGCTTACTATCTACCTTACTCGGGATTATTATAACCGGGATAAAGTGGTGGTTTTTGGAAGATTCCGCCATATTTTTCCCGGTCAAAAATTTTACCAGTCATAAAAAAACCCGCCGACTCAGATTATGGGGTTCCAAGGGGGTGGTGATTATTATATTTTACCTGAAGTCTCATATGTGCTAGAGAAGACTTTTGAAGCAGTGGATGGAGGGCTGTAACTTTATTGGCGGTTGCTACCATAATTTCGTTATAAAAATCACAATTTGGTTATAGAAATCAGATTTCAGGGTGGACCGTGATTTTCACTTTTCTTGCCCATGAAGTGAGTAAACTGTGCCACTATTTCATGGTCCACGGTGGATTGATTACTGGAGCAGTTGAAGATGCAAAGCCAAGACGTTCCCCAATACCAAGCGGTGGGCAGGAAATTAAGCTCCGGTGAGTCCGGCTGACCTTCAGAGCAGTAGCCCCATTAGCGGACAAAATGAAAGTCTTGTTAAGACAACAATACAACTTCGAATTTGACGGTCAGCAGCAGGGGGATATCAATAATGATAATGGAGGGGACATTAGCGATAATGAGAATGAGAATACGCTTTAATGAAGATTTGACTTATTATTGCTATAGATTTATTTTCCTTTAAATACTAGACGTGTCTTTTTTTCTATTTCTGAGTAATATCAGTAACTGTAAATTGAAATAACTTCTTTAACAAGTAACAAAAACAGAAATTTCGGTTGAAAATTTGTTGACCTCTGAAAAAAAACTTGAAAGGTCGGCCACCGGTAAATACATGACCGGGATAATTTGGCGGGTTTTGGGAAATTCCGCCATAATTTTCCCGGTTATTAATTTTCCCAGTCATAAATTAACCCGCTATAATATTCCCGAGTAAGGTATAACAAATTGACCATCATCTTACTTTTGAGCCTCAAATCATGTCCCTCAAAAAGCATTGTTTCAGACTCCTTAGGAATGTAATAAGGAGAAAATATCTCTTTAGTAAAGCTCAGCTCAAGCTTATAATTAACAGCATCATTGTCTGCAAATTGGACTACTGCAATGCTCTTTATTATGGAATTAGTGACAACCTCATCCACCAACTCCAACTCGTTCAGAATGCAGCTGCTAAAGCTATAGTAGGACTATATAAATATGATCATCTAGGAGACACTCTGAAAGACCTTCATTGGCTGCCTATTAGTTACAGAATTCAATATAAGTTATTGCTTCTTGTCTATAAATGTCTTAATGGTATGGGACCAGATTATTTAAGTGATATGTTTAAATATGCCAATTATAATCATCTTATCTATTTGACTGAACCAAGAGTATATTCACAGTATGGAGAAAGATCGTTTCAGAAGGTTGGCCCTAAATTATGGAATGAGCTGCCTCTTGAAATTAAGAATTGCATGTCACTGGAATCTTTTAAAGTGTATCTGAAAACGTTTCTTTTTAAACGTGCTTTTGATATTAATTAATTTACTACTTTTTCAACGTTTCTACTGTTAAGTGCATACCCTTAACCTTGTAATTTAGTGTATCAAGTCTTTACAATTTTCTATGGTTTGGAACCTAAATGTGGATTGCTTTTCAGGTTTTCTTGTATCCTGACTTGTTTTCGTGGCACACCTGTGCATTTTAAGTTGTTGTGCCACTATAATCTATAAGTTTAAATTATTATTATTATTATTAACAACACCTAAGAATTTGGTATCCTTGACTTTAGTAATAACCTTACCATTGATGAATATTGATCTAGATTCATCTAGCAGGATAGCAAATGGTCTGGTCCGTGCACAGGTGTCATCATATTCAGAGGCAGGTTTAAAATGTATGTAGCAGCATTTGGACATGTTGATATGAAGTAGATTACATTTCATGTAAATCGAGACATGTTTAAGTACTAAGTTGGCTTTTTTGTATGTTGCTTCTCTAGATGGTCCTGATATGAAGATATTAGTGTCATCAGCATAAAGTACAAATTTCACCTCACTGTCTGAAAAGCAGTTTACTATATCGTTCATATACAATAGGAAGAGTAACGGCCCTAGAATTGACCCTTGTGGTACTCCAAATTTTACGTCCATTGTTTCTGATGGTACATCGTTATACATAACATACTGCTTTCTGTTAGTCAAATAGCTTTTTAGTAAGGTAAGTGCTGTGCCCCTAATACCGTAGGAATTTAATTTGCATAAAAGAATATCGTGATCAAGGGTGTCGAAGGCTTTGCTCAAGTCAATGAATATCCCTAGGACATGTTTATTGCTTGCCAGAGACTTAGTAACGGAGTCTATAGATTTGTGTAGAGCATGGGTGGTAGAATGGCCTTTCCTAAATCCAAACTGTGAGTCTGTTAGTACACCTTTAGATGTGAAGAAATTATAGAGGCGTTTATAAATAACCTTCTCGAAGATCTTTCCAAATAAAGGTAATATTGATACAGGCCGATAATTTTCAATGCATTCTTTATTGTCTTTCTTGTAAATAGGCCAGTCTAGTGTAGTGACATGCACAAAGTGGCTTCGGGTTACTGAAAAGGAGATCAGCACCTCATGCCACCCATCACTGGAAGAGATCTATATAATATTTAAAGGTTTTCAATTTTTGAATGGGTACCAAACCATTGAGTTATCATCTACAATGCTCAATGCTACCGCTATAAAAGATTCTAGAATTCCCAAGCCCACTCACAAGGAGCAAACATGCTGTGAATGAAATGCCAAAAATAACCCCCGGCGGGGCTCGAACCCGCAATCCCCGGCTTAGAAGGCCGATGCCTTAGCCATTAGGCCACGGAGGCATGTTTACTCTGATGAAAATTCTTAACATATTTTTTATTTCCGTTCACTTACATTTAGGATTAGCACTCACAGTGAGAGTGCAAATGTAATCAACAATAACCAGAACACAAGAAACTGGAACTACATCATACATGAGAAGCCGATTGTACATTTTCAACAGTACATTATTATTAAATCTAAAATAGCTAATAATTTAATTAATTATTAACAGGCCCCTTAACGTGGGCAATGACATACGCTTTATTATAAATTATAAAACAAGTTCAAGTCTATTTTCCGATTTTGCTAATTGTCTCTTTAGATCTGTTTCGGTCTTTCGTGGGAGTTCCCACATCTGCTGGTTGAGAATGCTCAACATAACATTCATGATGCTTGACTGCTTTATTAACCCGGGCAGGCACCGGGGGCAGACATCCCCACACCAGTGCGTTGGGACATAGTGTTGGTAAGTTTCAGGATGTGTTAGATCCCAGAGAATCCGCCATCTCCTCTACTGTTTTAGCTCAGCGGCAGCATGAGCCCTGGTTTCCTGCCACATTGGTACGTGTACCTCTGAAAGTACAGAAAGGTGGTGGATTTCGGGGTCCAGGATCCTCCCTCTTTATTCTTTAAGGTGTTATCATTTCTCTGAGATGTCAACAGTACAATTGTATACAAGTTGCAAAATACTTTGTAATGGCTGCAGTGGTGTGAAGTTAACATCCACTTGCTGAATCCTTGTTAGCGCCCCTTTAACATTTAATGTTCAAAAATATAAGCCCTGTTTATTAATAAAAAGAAGTTACGGTATTTTGGCGCCCGCTCGTAGTATCTTTTTTGTACTTTTCTATGTAGACCGATTTGTACTCCGTAAAAACAGCCTTCATCACACAAAAATTGCACACTGTGCACTGTAATATTGAATATGCACATTGGCATTGATCACTTACTATAATGGCGCAGGAGGGTCAACCTGAAAAGAACATTGCTTGACCCTCCTGCCCCACCGCATGGATCAGGAGGTTCATTTCAGAAACAGTGCTTGACCCTCCTGCCCCACCACATGGATCAGGAGGTTCATTTCAGAAAAAACAGTGCTTGACCCTCCTGCCCCACCACATGGATTACGGGGGTCACCCACAAAAACAGTGCTTGACCCTCCTGCCCCACCACATGGATTACGGGGGTCACCCACAAAAACGGTGCTTGACCCTCCTGCCCCACCACATGGATTACGGGGGTCACCCACAAGACCATGTGCGCTGCACTTATTTCTACATCGCGCGCGATACGTGTGTGCGTGATTACATGAAATATTACCGCGCCCTACGCCAAGTAGACGAAAAGCGTGGTCGAAGAGCGAGAGTCGGTACAATAAATAAAACGAGAGTTGGTACATTTAACTGGCATTTTTTAACCGTGGTACAATCAGAATTGAATACAGCCGACACAGGATGAGGGGGGGGGGGGGGGGGGGCAATGACTACTGATGGAGACTTTTGAGCACCAATGGGGACGAAAATCATAGGGACTGAAGGTCAAATCGCTGGTGAAATTTTCCATTTGTCCCCATAAGTACCCAAAGTTTTGGCGAGTTTTATGTAGTTTTGATATTATCTTTTATTAAATGACTTCTAAAGGAGACTTTTGGGTACCAATGGGGGCTAAAAATCTTGGAGACTTGAGGTTAAATTGCTGGCGAAATTCTGCACTTGTCCCCAAAGTACCCAAAGTCATTGGCTCCCCCCCCCTCCCCCGGGTGAGGTGACGGAGAAAAATAAACTGAGCTCAAGGCTACATTTCCAGATATCCCGCCACGGCACCGTCGCTCATGCTGCAAAGTGTGTTGAGAGATGCCCACGTCATCACACGTAAACTGTGTCACGAATACCTGAAATGCAGACGTGCAGAACAAACATAACTCTGATCTATATTTTTCATAAAACTTTCAGGATTTGCCAATGAGGGAAAAGACAGCACTGTCCGAGAAGCTAGAAATGCATGAATCATAGGTGACATGGATAGGGGTAAGAAGTTTTTTAAAAACATGAAAATTGTGAAAGGAAAAGAAGTAGAAATGAGAAAGGGTAGATTTAAAATGTTTGAGAATCGATTTTGTGCTGAAGAACTCCGTCCGCAGGACGGGCTTCCGGCTACTTATGATAATTCGAATAAATTTGAGATTCAAACAAGCTACGAATACGAATGCTTATAGCAGTGGCAAGCTCTTGTTTGCTGCGCATTGGCTGCAATGTATAACCGCAGTATGAACTGTCAAAATATTTGAATTTGCTTACCTAGTGGCTTTGTTTGATAAAGCATACATACTTTATATACCGATAAATCAATAACTCCTTTTGATTCTTCGGTTTGAGAATTGTGCGGTCACACATCTCTGCAATGTCTGAAAAGGTGGCAGGGAAGTATTGAAACTTACTTAACACTATATTTACAGTTAAACCTTGAACTACTATAACTAGGGCAGTAGGAAACGCCAAAAAGTAGATCATCTGACTAAAACAACTTAACTTCATCCAAGAGTCTAGTTAGCAGCATTGTAGCGATAAGATACCACCATAGTTTGAGCTGTCGACACTGAAATAAAACAAACAATTTACTTTTCACTACTGCAGGGGAATGCATGTAACATATAAAGAATAAAGATATAATATATTGTATGTTTTTCATCGTGGCCTCAGGGAGAAGGGCAGCTCGAAAAACCGAAAAAAGTCTTAAAAACCGTGTTGGAGCTGGTGAGTTAAAGCTACCGATCTCGATCGTGAGAGTCAGATGATCAGATCGCATGTAACGTGAGTTTCGCCCGCCTGAATAAGGCAACATGAAATCATATTGCTGGTGACAGGTCTCGACCAAGATGTAAAATAAAGATACCCCAAATTTGTTATTTTTAAGCCGATTCACATCGACCCAAGTCTCTGCTTTGACCCTAAATGCTCAAACTTCGTTAATAGATTGGAAAATCGTGTTATGCTTGTTACTAATAACTGTTGTTTGTGAGAGGACATCTCGATTTCCCGGATCAGAGGATCACACCAATGAGGGGTTGATTGTGCATGTGTGAACTTGACTAAATTTTCAAATTGCCCGATTTTTTTTCAGTAGGTCACATTACTCGTGACGTGCAAATGTATCTTTTGTCTTTTAATAGGTCAAGCTCAGAGCTTTAAAGCTTTAAAGACTTCTCCGTGACAAAGACGGGCCGACATATATCTTTACTCCAGGAAAAGTCAGAACTCTTTCCACACCACATTCTTAAATGTACACGACAGCAGAACGACGATGTAGCCCCACGCCGCAGTAAACTTTAAATTTCTGACCCGGAACGAGCCCAGCAACTGTAGACAGCTGCGTGAGCTATGTACGGTTAGCAGATTTAAGAGCTTATGCAATAAGCAGTCACCGTTCACTCTCATTTTTGACTTTTCTTCTTTTGAACAACAAATGTCCATTGAATGATGCCAAGCTAAGCGATTATGATTAGAAAAGTACCGTGATTTACACTGATGGCTCATACAAGGACTTGTTGGACTTCGTGAATTTGGAGGACCTGCAGCTGTAATCAGTACTTCACTACCAGATGTGCGAGGCCGAGGTTCCCGTTTGACAACATTACAAGTGGACCACCCAGGCCGGGATGATCACGCGCTAGTTGACATGAGATCTGATTCTCCCGGGAAAATTGGGCGAGATGACCGGTGTCCTGTCAGAGGTCACGGATACAAGGATACAAAAATATAAATATTTTATTGTACAATTACAATAGTCGTATAAACTTGACAAATTCGCCTACCATCACGTGACCCTCGTCAACGAGCAAGTGAAAAATGTGTTCACAGCATTTATATTATACGGTAACTACACCATAGATTGACAAGCTAAGCGTACAGAAAAACGTCCAACTCCTGACTATAATAAAACTCCGGTATAATAGCGTTTTTGACGGAGCAATTTAATGGCCTGGAGTAGGAAACTTTGTTGACCGGAATAAATTTATCCGAAAGGCGAAAGATACATATGAGAGGCCATCATAAGATGGTACCAAAATATCTCTGTGAAAAGTCCTTTTTACTTTTTTAAGCGTCAAAAGTCGGTGCACTTACTTTATCCATCGAAAAAAAGGCATCCCCTGGTGGCTCGTAAAGTATCGATTTTAGCTGTCTAGTAGCCATCTTCTGTGCTCTCTGGCAGTCTAAGAAGAAACATTATTATATACGACTCTATACAAATAATCTTATTATAAAACAGGATCATACATAGTTAATAGAACTCCATTAAGAAAACATCTTAACTACGTAATCTGTGCCTAGTACAACAGTTTCCAACACTTCCTACAGCTAGCAATATCCCTTATTTCATTTAAATCACTCAAATTTCTAAGTTCTAAGTTTCTATATTTAAGGTCATCAACAAGCATATTTGATATAAGTTTGTATTAGGTCTACCAACACGCCCTTTAAATTTACCACTACTATTTAACACAAATTTCTCTTTGTGATGAAAAAGTTTAAAGAAGCTTTACAACTTAACTCAAACTAATGCTTCTGTCTGTCTGCTGCATTTGAGTTTATTTCTAAATGATTCGCAGCTTTCGGTAGCTCCATGTTCAGCCCACCATGCCTGAAAAAATTTGGTTCACAATAACTTTGGTTCCCATAAATATTATGGTTACCATAATATAAGTCACAAATTTTGTTAATTTCAAGTCAACAACAATATTAGTCGTATTTTTAAGACCATTTTTCCATATCATTTAATTTTTTTAAATTTATTCAGCTAGCTTTTTTGACTAAAATATTTTCGATCTGGGAAATTATTTAAAGACGAGTCAACATTACATACATCAATTACATAGCATCACATACATTTACCTATAACACGCAGTAGCGACTTGTATAAATTTAACGATACTTAAATTCGTTAAATCATATATCATGTATATGCTCTGCTGAAATCTTAGTCTCCTTTAAAATAAGTCCTCCCATGAAATTGTCCTCCCATAGGCAATTGTTTGACTTAATTTATGGTATAATAGATTTTTCGTTCCTGAGGAAAGGGAATTTCGGCGGATATAGTAACACCAGAAAATATTGGTTTATGTAAATTGAGTTTACGTTGTTTATCAATGATTCGAGGGCACTGCAACGAGAATTAGAACAATTAATCAAAAATTACTGCCTAAACATTTAATGACCAAAACCTAACGAGCTTAACCTCTGTCACTCTTTTTCGGAGATTCAATATCATTTGACACAACTCTATGGATTAACTATATGATTTTTTAAAATAGGAAAACTAATCTGGTTGTATCCTAGCAGAACTGATTATTATATAATGCCTGTGCAAAAGCAGTAACTGGAAAATATAAATTTGATCACCTAGGCGACGATCTTGATAAATTGCACTGGCTTAATATACCTAAAAGAGTGATTTTTAAAATATGTCTCCTATCTTTTAAGGCTATTAATGGAATAGCGCCACTGTACCTTCAAGATATGTTTAAGTATGCTCACCATGGACACACTGTTAGGCTCATAGTCCCTTATCGTTCAACCAAGGGTTTTGGTGATCGTAGTTTTAGTGTGGTTGGTCCACGAGTTTTTAATGCACTACCAGACTCAGTTAAACAATGTTATTCTGTTGAGGCGTTTAAGTCCGCACTGAAGACTTATTTGTTTACTTTATCTGACACTGAGGTAGCAAAAATGTTTTATTAATAATTTTAACCCTCTCTTTGACTTATCTAAATTATATTAGCTTTTTGGAAGTTTTATGAACGAATTTATACATAGAACTTTATTTTGCTTTTGATATATAGTTTTAAAAGTATTTTTGTAAACTAGTTGTAGTGACACTGCTGAGTAAAAGTGTACGCTTAATAGTGGTGTTTTTAAATTTCAATTTTAATTAATTAATTAATATACGTTAAGAACAGTGTCAGCTGGAATATTCAAGTAAGGTCATTTGTGTGCTTTCTTTTACAACAGAAACAAGGAATTGAAATATCATTGTAAACTAAAACTGACAAGGGTAATCATAACATAACATTGTGCTCACAGTGTCACTCCATTCCTGAAAAAAGCCCATTTTCTTCCAATAAGACAACAAATAGAGTATAAGATTGCTCTAACCGTGTTCAAATGTGTCAACAACGTAGCTCCAAATTATATCACCAAATGCATCAACATTAAGAGTCAACCTGTACGTGTACTACGGACCTGAACAAGACTATTTCCTCCTAAATGTTCCTACTGTTTCAAATTATAGTAAAACTGAGAGAAGCTTTAGTTACTGTGGACCCTTTGTTTGGAATCAGCTTCCTTAGCAATTTGAGAACTTAACCGATATCGTCTTGTTTAAAAAGAGATAAATACGCATCTCTTTGAAAAAAGCATTCATATAAGTAGCATATACTTTTAATAAAACCCAACTTCTAAAAAACAGATCTAACCACGTGCGATCGTGAGTCACATCTATTTCAATATTATGTCGCTGAGTATAGAGCTAGTGGATCTCGGCACGCGTTGCAACTGGTGAAAGTCCTTTATCGATGTCCATTAGTTTAGTGCTCAGTGAAACCGAATTGTCATAGAGAGATAGTCCTGTGTGACTCCATGTGCGAAATGTTGCTGTGATCCATTCAGTCACATATATCATAGTTATTGAATGCTACTATATATGCAAGTGATATTTAGAGTCGGATATGATAGTCATATCTTAGGACTGATCTAATTTTGGAAGCTCTTATAGTTATGAGAAAATGAGTTATTGATATGAGGCTTTCAGGTTATTCTGTTAATAGTATTTAATACATAATCTGTAGTCTTTCCTAATTACGACACCAATTGAATAATGAAGTGATTTGTTTAGAGAATAAAATTTAGGTCGAAAAATTTGTCTTCCCCCCCCCCCGCCCCTTGGCAATTTCATTAAATCATACAACCTGATCTTTGAAGTTATCACAAGGGAGGTATCCATAGGATGTCAGCATTGGGCGGTACTACACAGGAACAGTAGCTCATTTAGCTAAGGTCACCATGGCTGTGACAGTTAGTCTTGAATGTCCAATGGTCAACCAGTTCTGCGATTTACAGGTAACATCTAGGAAATGAAATGAAATAATGAAATGAATAAGAATAAGATTAAGTTGAATGTGCTTATGATGGGACCCCCGGAGGGCAAGATCAGGTTATAATACTGAATGACAATTCTAATGACAACCCCAAAATAGGAAGAGATCAAGAGGCAGGTCTATAGGAAGAGCCTTAAATGTAGTAGAAACTGTTACCTACCCTCGAAGATGTATAAGTAAAGTAATAAAACAGCTCCCGCAGACTAATCTTTTTGGATGGAGATCTCGCTAGAGTAACATGTTACTTGGTTCAATCCAATACATATAAAATTAAAGAGTTTAAGAGTCCAAAATAGGAATTTAACACAAATATATATTAAATTCATTCACTGCAACAATCACTTCATAAAATCATGTAGGAGTATTGATAAGATTGAGTTCCAGATCACCTATATATTGCTGTGGATGCTAAAATCCTGACACCTCTATAACCCCTAAAAGAAACTATACATGTCATGGGTAATGGATATCATTAGTAGGTAGTTATTGCAAACAGAGTGCTACCAAGTGGCCATTATGATTTTCTAGAAATCAGAAACAAAAA